CCGATATTCGGGTTCGCCTCCAGCTTCGTCCGGTCGTTCCTTCAAAATGATAGGAACTTCCTCCTCTTCCTCTCCTTCGGATTCCTCGACCTCAATGACCTCTTCGGCTGTCTTGCGTGCGTTCTTGATGACTTCATCGATGTTTGCACCTGCAGCAGAAGTTGTTTCACCGGAAGAACTGGCTGGGACATCTTTCGGAGGTGATCGTTGATTGCGGTCCCTTGTCTCCTTGGGTACTACATGCGTGAGCTTCCCATTTGCAATCAAAACCGCTACACAGTGTGGACATATCGTCAATCGCACATCGACTTCGCCAAGACAGTTAGGACACGGTCTCGAGTCGTAGTCTTTCATTGCCCGGCGGTACACGATCTCCTCAAAGATTTCCTGCCACTCGGTGCTATCATATTCTGGGTAGACACCACTCTCCTCGATCATACCCAACAGCTTTGAGATTTTGGCGTCGTCCTCGGAGTAGGTGTCGTCCTGAACTTCAACCGCTAAACTCTCAAGCTTTTGGTAGCGTGGAATCATGATCGGGTTTCCGTATTTGGACTCCAGAACAAGGTAGCTTCCAGGGTCGGGTTCTCTATTGAGTAACCGGATCCATTCGATCTCCTCAGGCTGTCCGGGTTCCGCATTGTCGCATTGCAACCATGCCCCTTTAACCTCATCGAAGGGAACGACGTTCTCAACTAATAGAGATCCAGTCGCTGAGATGAGAAGTCCGTACTCCTGCAGCTTCCACACCGGAATGTAGAGAACCACTGGGCGATCACTCAATGCGACCTTACGACCTAGCCAAGGTTTTCCCTTGTAGCCCTGCTCCCAGGCCCATGGCGGAAAACATGTGAAGTGGGTAGAATCCCTTCCCGATGAACCGAGACCTCCTGGCACTAGCCCTCGTCGCATGATTGAAGTCAGCGCTCCAAGATTGGTAGCGTGAAATGCAGTCACCATAGATAGGGCCATGTCGTTGGTCATTCTCGATCCAATGTGGTCGATGTTAATGGTAACGTCATAACCTCCGCCGTCCGTTGAGTGTGCCGAGGTTGCTCTTACGGCCACGGGAAAGCACCATCCATCGCTATGGTGGAGTCTTCCTTTAGAGATTCCCATGCCCTTGAGTTCGTCAATCCATTCCTTCTCCATCGGGTCATCAGGGTCATTGAGTTCGTCAGGGTGAACGCGGACTGCCAGCATTTGGAATCTGACCCTCTTGGTTATGCGGAAACACTCATAGTTCTGGTCGAAGTACTTCTCCAAACGCGCCTTCTTGGTCACGATGTCTATGTTGCCATAGTGATAACCGTCTTCCCAAACTGCGTTATCACCTAACAGGTCTTCCCATGACACCCATGCGCCTTCATCGCATTTGATTGGTGTGAGTCTTCCTCCTGTCCTGAACTGGCGTCCAATTCGATGTCTCATTTTCGCCCCCAATCGGCGACTCAGGGCCTGGCTCGCTTGGCTGTATTCAGGTACTCGACAGTCTGGAGTCGGATACTTGTGGTTGCCGTAGTCGGAGTTCTGTGCAGCGAAAGTGACTCCGTTGATCGGTACTAATTCTACCTTCCCGATCATCGTCATGGGGTCGATCGGCTTGTATCCCTTCTCCCTCCGTGTTGGTAGGGGATAGAAGTGATGACATGCCTTTGGTGTGAGGGAACTGGAGTGCACAAATGCCTTCTCTACAAATTCGTACACCACCCTCATATCCCTGGGGCCTGCTTCCGCAAGCTTCCGCCCATTGTAGGAATGTGTCCCTCCTTCGACTCCATCAGCACTTTCGATCAAGGTGAGTCCGTCATGGTCGAACATTGTCACGACTCTTGCTTTCAACATCTCTTTTCGCCTGAACTCGCTGTCGACCTTCCTATCTGGAGTAGGCGATGCTTTCTGCTTCTTCTTCTTAGGCTCTTCGGTCGGATGTCCAGATGGTACATCGTCGGGTGCAACCTCCCCCTTCACTCTCTTCTTCCAATCACTCAACACTGAGGTGACCGTAGGTGAAGATGAAGGGGTCTTCTCGCAATTGAGAGTTGTGTGTCCCGACTTCATGCAGTGGATGCAGAATTCTGCTTGCCCGATCTTCTTCTCGAACTCGTCGATGGCTTGCAGTATTGATGTCTTCGGATCGGACATGTCAACGTCTTGCTCCTCCTTCTCCTGTTCACATTCAGTCTCCATATCGACACCTTCGGCCTCGGGCTGGTCAGTAGCCTCCGCTCCCTGTTCTGGTTCTTTCCCAATTTCGAAGAAGTGGTCGATGTCGAATTCAGGAGGCGGCATGGTCCTCATGCGAACGAGAATCAGAGCCACGTTTGCCGCCTCATCAGAGTGCGGGTCCAAGGTTCTGATTGTCGATCGCTTTCGGTTCTCATACGTTGTCCTGTCGTACAGCGATGCAGTGACACGTTTGATGGATTCTTCTAATCCCGTCCTCAAAGCTTCGATGTCACCCCATCCCAAGAACAGGTGTCTGAAGAGTTGAGCAATTTCTAACATGCCCAGCAGCGCTTCCACCATATCACCTACCCGTTCCTCCGTGGGATCATCTCCGAATATATCGCGGAATACATCGGGCTCCAGTATGGTCTTGAGGTATTTGGTGTAGCACACGTTGCCAAGGTCATAGGATCCCTGGTAGTACTTGGCGCTGCCGACTATCTGCTTTTCCACATGGATGCTGGGCCCTCTCCTCGTTTTGAAGAAGTTCTCCGTCGTAGTTGATGACAACCTGATCCCCCCGAAGAACGAGATCTCCTTCTGGAAACCTGGATTCTCATTAAGTATGATCATCGCCTCGTGTAAGAACTTCATCAGGTCTTCGTGCGGGTTCATCTCGGAGATCATGACGGTGGGAGAGGATACCGTTTGCCCCATGCCGAAGTTGTGAAGCAATCGCGCACATGCATGGAATCGCTTCTGGACGTAGTCTTCTGCGGACATCCCACGGCATCGATTCGCCGCTCCGTTGATGCATTCTGCATAGCAATCGTCTTTCAAATCGGAGTCTATGGGATGGCAGACCAGACAGTAATCGCAGCAAATTTCCTCACCCTCCTTGAAGTCATCAATGACGTACCATCTTTGAGTCCTCGAGTATATTGGTTCTGGCTGAAGGACTCCCCAGTACTCATCCATCCATGGCATTTTGTTCTCTCTCCTTACCTTCTCCCTCTTCCTCCGCTCAGACTCATTCTCACCTGAAGGCCCCGCAGTGGACTGATATGCGTGGCTTCCTCTTACGGAATCTCCGAACAAGTACTGATACAACCTCTCTTTGTCCTGCAACACGTGTTCCAAGTTGGGATCATGGAGGCTATTCGCTTCGGTCAAGGGATCCGGTGCCATAAAGCAAGAAGCGAGCATCTTTTCTCTGAACAAATACTTTTCCATGACAGCGTGGACCAAAGAGGTTCCAGACTTCATAGAGTAGGGGTGACCGCCTCCGGCGACCGAAATGGCTCGCCAGAATCTGTCCGACGTTGTGGACATCATGCCATTCAGCGACAGCTCGTCCTTGATCATGTTGGCGATTTTGCCGAACGAACCGACGGCATGGTGAAACTCCACGTCTGCGCAAATCCTCACGAAGGTAGGTAGTTGGCAGCATGCGTCAAGCTTGATGATCACATCCCTGAGTCTTGGAACGAAGTCCGTGGGAACAATCACAGTCTTGTATGTCCCCTTCTCGCCCGCAGTCACTAGATGGCTCAACGACAACCACACATGGATGGAGGTGGGTTCATGACGTTTGACATCATCAATTCGATCACGAACGAAGTCGATGAAGCCATATGGATCCGTCACTATGAAATTCCGCGGTTGCAGTTTGGTCCCTGCTTTTCTGGGGAAACTGGCCCAAAGGCCTGTACAGCACCAAGCGAGATGCACACAGTTGCAAGAATCACCCAAGGCTACGCTACCATACAAATCACATCCAGAGCGGTGCGTTTGGCGCAGTGATACTGGACGCAGCGTTCAAATGAATTTTGCGCAAACGAATTATCCAACGAGAAGCCGTGGACATAAGCACACTCCTACACACATGACTGCGCAACCAGCAACTTAGGCCTGTGCCTTGGCGGCGCTTGAGCCTGCGGGTTCGTAGAACCCCTTAAAAGGGTGTAAGGGCACTGTGTCCACGAAAGAGTTTCCCATGAAAACACCGATGCAGTTTGCAAACATCAACTCTAGATTTTTGCTTGTTTGGTTTGTAGACACGGGTCAAAAGACTGCAGAATCAAGTCTGAGAAAAACCTTGCTCTATGCGAGAACCTGTTAAGTGCAAAATGCGCTGGGAGGGATGTCATTCACAAGAGGAGTGAAGGGGAGTGGAAGCAACAAGGATGAGAACGAAGCACAGTAACAGGCAGCTCAATTCAACAGATTGAAAAGCTCCTGGGTGTGCCCACTACATTCTGCGCCCTTTGTCTGACAAAAATGGACGGCTTCCAAAAGGAGCATTTGCTCTCCGCCACATCAAGCAGCACCTCACTCTTTGGGGCGAGCTTTGTTGGCTGCTCACAAACTTTTAGAGATTCAGTAGCGCATCACACTGGCGTGCGAATGTTTTTAAACAACAAAAACAAAAAGGCAGTGGAACTTCTGTCGTAAGAATTTGGCAGCCAGCTCTTTGCTGCAAGGTGATGGTTCTGTGCCTTTGGAATCTTGGTGAGACAAGTGGTCCCCGAATCTCAAGCTAAAGTTGGCCTGAGCACAGAGGTGAACTGAAACATCGAATCTGAGCGTTTAAGTCTGGGACATTTCTGAGAGGCTGCGCATGAAACACACACAGAAACAATACAACCCATGTCTGCTACTGTACGCGCTGGAGTGTGAGAGGAAAACTAAAAAATGCACAAAGTCTCACAAAGGTGTTCTTTTCTTCCACACGGCCCTCGCTCTAGAAAAAGAAAGGTTTCAGAATGGCCCTCCCAGCCGCCTGTCAGCCGGTTCCATTCACCCTTCATCCCTGAGACTTAGTAGAAGGCTCAGCTAGCTATGGCTGTAGACAAGTCGGACAAAAGAGCTATCTCTTGTTTGAGCTTTGCGGCGTCCACCCCAGCCGCTGCACTGGCACCACCACTGTCTCCCTTCTCAGCAAGTTGGCGCTCACAATCTGCTTTCCTTTTTGAGAGGCACAAACTTGAGTTCTCATGCGCTGAATGCTTGCAGACCAAAGGCACGCGGACGCCAACTGTCGGTTGCTGGACCAACTCGGCCTGGACAAATCCATAGGGGACATACAAGAAATCGCCAGGGCCCATAGTGCAAGACCACAACACACACTCTTTCTGATAGTCCTGGATCATCGCCACATTCATGGCGCGGAAGAAAGCTGACATCTTTGCTAGGGTTGTCAACCCAGCAATGCCCTTCCTTTGCATGAACCCTTGCAACTGCAACACTTCAGTCATGACCACAGTCCGCGTGCCTTCTACAGACAAGCGCGCCACTGCGCAGCCAAGGAATTCACCACTCACTTTGTCATAGCTAGCATCAATGCCAAAGAGGCTCACCTGCAAGGCATCCTGCAACTGCTTAGTCATTGAGTCCCGGGCAACCACACGCCCAGACTTCAGGAAGAGGTCATCAACTTTACTCTGTAGAGCCGCTAGCACTTCACTGTCCTCAACAGCTTTCGAGACTCTGGCCCCCTTGGATTTCTTGCGGGCATCGTTGAAGGAATCCCTAAAGGAGTCCACACATTGCCTGCACTTCGCACCATCCTTCATAAGCTCACTCACCCAAGAAGAGCAATCCAAGCTGAAGGGCTTGGACATGTCAAAGCTGCAGTCTGCAGCCACACGTTGAACAGCAGTGGCGCCAGCCACTCCTTGGTCAAACACGGGCACTTGGGCAGCTGCTTGGCCTGCTGCTTTCTTTGGCTTGCTCGCGTCAGCTTGCTGCTTTGCGGTTTGCTTTTTCAACTGCTCCACAGCACTCTTGACCGCCTTGTCAGCCCTGGATGTAGCTGCCAGAAGCTGGGTCATAGGAGCTCGGATTGCCACAATCTCGGCTGTCACTTCCTGCACATGATGTCGTCGCAAAGGAAAAACAAAGAGGTGATCATGAACCGGGAAGTTGAACATCCAATAAATAACCCCTGACGCCGCAACTCATATCGACTATCCCAAACACCATGCATGCCTGTGGACCAATGGAGATAACCCCGACCAAGACCACTCAGCTGGGGTTTGTCAGCGGGGCTAGCTAACTTTGGCTTGGGGCCTGGGCTCTGCACATCAATGCCTTCTTGGCTTTGGTGTGGCAAACAAACATTCAGAAGGCATTCAACAACAGCCACTGGAACACAAAGCCGTTCAGTCAAACTAGTCCTTCACGTGGGCAGGCTGCGTGCAACGCTGGTAATTCTTGACAGCGCCCTCCAAAGCAGTGAATGGCTTGAGGGAAGCATAGAGCTCACAAGGAGGGGCTCGCCCAAGCTCAACTGGATTGCTGTCCAGCTCACCTAGTTCTGGCAAAGCAGCGTCGAACCTCCCAATGTAGCTCTTGACCGTGTTTTCATCCCCGTTGGGGTCCTTAGTTCTATAACTCTATCTTGAGCAAAACTATAATGTTGAAAAATGATGGCTGCAAGTGAAGCATGCGCGCGTTTCGGACTTCAAGCTGAGGGCGTGTCCAAAATGATGGTAAGGGCTTCCACACGGTTGGCTAGGATCTTGATTTCACCAGCAAAGTTCTTCTGGAAGACCGCATCTGGGTTGGACTTGTGCTCCTCCAAGCTTGCCTTGTGGTCCTTCAGACCCTTCTCAAGTTTGGTCTTGAAAAGGTTGATTTGCGTGGTGGATGATCTGACTGTGGCAGAAATAACACGGTCCCGGTCAACCCAAGGCTTTGCTGGCTTCTCTGGTGACGAGCCATTCGCCTCTTCCTCATCACCCTTCTTGGCTGGCCCCTCTGCTTCTTCAGAAGCAGCTTTGGCCTCACACGTCTTTGCCAGGTCCATGACATCCACCAGGAACCCATCGTTGCCCTGAAAGGCTGCGTCACCGTGTCGCACAAGAGCCTGGCAAATCTGGATTTGGTCAGCGATTGGGTCATGGTTGCTCATAGATTTTGCCTTCATGCGATCCACATCAGCTTGAGTCGCATTCTTTTTCTGCTCGACCTCCACGACAGCTTCTTTTTCCTGCATGAAGCTAGAGCGGAAGGAGAGCTGGTCAGCTGTCTTGACCCAAATTCGAAGCGCTCCATTCTCTCCACCATAGTCAAAGAACAGCTCTGGGTCTTTTGCAAGAGCCCTTTGTTCCCACTCAGACCATGTAGCAGCAATTTGCTCCTCAGTCTTCCTCCCCCCCCTGACTGTCATGGCAAACTCTGTGTACAGCCTCTTGTGCATCATCTCACCCACTGCGTCCTTCACAAAGCCACTTGCAGCAACAGTACGCTCGCGGTATTTGGCCAAAGACCAAGTGCCTCGCTTCTTGTTCTTGGCGCCCCCCATATCGCAGCATTCCGGGCACAACTCCAAATAGCTCTGGACCATGTTGAAGCAAAGGTCTGGATCCTCTCTTTGTTTTTTCACAAACTCGACAGCTTCTTTGCCCTGCTTGGTCGCCAACTTGTAGATGTTGTCGAGGGCCCGCTTGCACTTCCAACACCCTGGGAAGTTAGGAGCGCAGTCCTCAGCAGCAATCTTTTGCTTGCATCCCTTGCAATGCCGCGCGCACTTTGCACGCTTCTTGGGAGCAGCCTCAGACTGCTGCTCCTGGCCTTCTCCATCTGGCCCTGACCCGGCTTTCCGCTTCTTACCACGGCCTGTGTTGGCATCTTGTTTCTCCTTTGCCTGGCTCATCAACAGGAGGATGTCCGCGTCCACAGAGTCAAGAGCGCATGACTCAACATCCATGTTCAACCAGGGCTGGACTACAAACAGAAGGACAGTGGTGATTGAAAAATGTGCTCTCTGACAATCATCCGCGCGCAATGCATTCACAAAAAGCATTGAGAAGAATCCCTGCAACTCTATTTCCACTAGGCGTTGAAAGTTAGTGAAATTGAGGAAACACTCTTCAGTGCAACATCTGTGCATTGGTCCAGGCGCGCAAAAAGAAGAGGAATGGCTCAGGGCCCGCGCAGGCCCCGCAGAAGAATTGCCTGAGAAGGCAGCTGGTAATTGACAGAAGATGAATTTGCAAGCCTTCTTGCGTCTTGCGCACACCGAGAGTATTAGCAAACCACTTGCGAAAAGAAACCAGCAAAATGAAATGAGATAAAAGGAACATGTGTCATCCTATTTCCCTGACAGTGAGATTCTTTTCTGCCATCCCCAAAGGCATGTGTTTGCGGTGTAGTGAGAACATAGCCTGCCAACAGAGTCTGTGCATAAACTAACTGGAAAGATAAAGATTCTGGGAAACAATCACAAGAAGTCAGACAGGCCATGCATCAACCCAAGCTACATAGATTCTCTCACGCGATCACTGAGACGTCACTTCAGTGACAGAAAGGCAAAAGGCCATGAACAAACCAAGCACTCGGGCGTGCATCTGGTTGCCAGTCACCTTCGCAATCAGGCTTGATTTCACTGATCCAAGATAAGCCATGGACCAAGGACAACCAGTGTCGTCCTCACCCAAGTTCTGCACCAAGCCTTCCACCGGCCACCCCATCGCAAGCATCATCTCGAGTGGAATCATCTCTCGGCCCTTCCATTGCGACCAAAGGCGGCTGTGGGTCAAAAAGGAAGGCAGGATCTTGCTCAACTTTTGTCGGACACAGCAGTTCTGGCTAAGATCCACTACCCCATACATGCCCTTGTCAACGAACTCGGCGTTGTCCAAGCTCCCTAGAAGGTTTTGGTACGACAGCAAGCGCACCTTGGTGCCAACGTCCAAGCCAGCAGTGAAAGGCAAGGCCTGAGCATAATGACCCTGCAAAGTCCCTCTCAAAGTCAAAACTTGGCGTCGCAGGTGATCTTGCGCAAGGTCTTGCGGGGCACAGAAAAAGTCATGGCCGTCAACTTGGACAGGTGTCTGGCACACCTTCAAGAAGTCATCTCGGGTGAAGTCCCATGTCAGGCGCAACCTTGGGCCCCTGATGGTCCAACTGTAGTTCCGCCATCTCACCATCGGCATCCCAACATCCTCACATTTCAATTTCAGCACAGTCGTCTTCCAACCCTTTTCTGGTGGGAAAGCGCTCTGGAAAGCTTCCTTTGTGTTGAAGCGACTGCTGCACTCTTGGAGTACCATGTCAACCTTCCGAGCCTCAGTCTGCACCATCCATATCGCTGCGACAATAGCAGACTCATGAAGCCACAAACCCCCACTACCCTGTGGAGAGAAGCTGACACATGAATTGCCGGCGCCCTCCAGCACCAAGTCTGTGTCATTGGTCTCTGGCCACAAAGGGCAAAAATTGTCATGGACATAGCAATACCCATTCTGGCACGCCTTTTTTGCCTGGACAGTTTCCCGAGCAACTGTCAGCAATTTGAGCATGCATCGATGACTGGTCTCTTCCCAAATCTTCTTTGCAGCAGCTGGGGTGCCTGCTGCCTTCATTTGAGTAGTAGCCCTGTCTCGCAGCACTTTGACAACCATCTCCATGTGTTTCACAACATCGCTGGGAAACTGGTGGGTGAGGTCCCCAAACACATGGTTTGGGCGGTGCTTTGCCTCCATCAGCACTGCCCGGGTATCATCACAAATTTCGTGAGCGGAGTAGAACACCACTGGAGCAGAGTTGTGGGCGTTGACAAGCCTCTGCATGCAGTGCTCTACTGTCCCCAAGCCAGTGTAGTGTGTGGTTACAAACAGCTTTGGCCCATTGACAGTTGACTGCTGATCAAACCAGAACTGCAAGTTCGGGGCCATGTTCCAGTGCATATCAAAAAGAAACTCAAAACCGTCTTTGGCCAGCTGGGGCCAATTCAGGAGCTCTTCCAAGAAATGCTCACTTTCCTCGCCCTCCCACCGGTCAGTGCCCCTCCGCTCACAACGATGGCGCTTGGCAGGTGGCTCACACTCACCCAAAGCTGTGGCTTCTACTCTGTCAGACATATGTCTATTTAAGGCAATCGCTGGAATCTAGAAAAACTCGAAGCGCAAAAACTTCGCTTGAGCTCTAGAACAAACCGCATATCACACAGAGTTTGCATACACACAAACTTGGCAGAAAAGGAAAACAAGAACTTCTGCGCAAAAAGTTTGCAACTAGGACAGGATGTAGAGGCTGTGGGAGAAAAAAAGAGGAATGAATACACCTGTGGTCTGGAGAAAAGTTCAGCGTCTGCGAAAACAGTATGGGCGTTGAGGATATAGACTTTGGGTCGCTTTGTTGTTCACTGGTGAGCATTCCAGGCGTTTTCGTGCCAAGGTTTCTGCTTTGGCGAGAAATTGTAATGTCAGGCCCAAAAATGGTTTGAACATGAAGCTTTGTGGGGTACAGGGGGCATTTGCAACGCACGTGGTCAGAAATGTTGCATTTGCGATGGCTTCTGCGTGTTTGTGGACAAGGGCACCTTTTTAAGATCTTTGGGCAGTCGCGCAGGTGTCGCGGATGTTCGCGGGTCTTCGCGGGCGTTCGCGCACGTGTCGCGGGTGTTCGCGCATGTGTCGCGGGCGTTCGCGCATGTGTCGCGCGTGTTCGCGCATGTGTCGCGCGTGTTCGCGGGTGTTCGCGGGGCTCACCCACTCACACAGAAGTCACAGAAGTGGACAGGAAAATCAAGAAAACAGCTCTTGTTGCAGCGTCGGAGATTTAGGGCAGCTTGGCCTCTAAGTTTTTCTTTTTTGACTCTTAAGTGCGCACTCAAAGGTAGAAAGACAACAAAACCCAGAGAGTTGCCCTGTCAACCTACCTCGAAGCTCAAAAAGACAGCTGCTATGGCCAGTCTCGCCTTGGGCAGTGTTCTCCAGAAGCCAAAACCAGCTGAGCTGAAGCGCAGCCCATAGCCTGCCACAAAATTTCTCCAAGACGGCCGCGCAAGAGGTTGAGCAGCAACAAAGAAACAATGTCTTGAATGGGCCAAGCCCTTTTCGATGCCTTGTGTGCAAAATGTTCCTTTTGCTTGGGGCTCCGTTTTGGGAACGAAGGGATCTATGTATGGTCCTATGTATATGGGGCGCTGTAATTGAAATATATAAACCTAATCGCCCCCAAAACGGAGCCCAAAACTTGGCGTCCCACCACAATCTACAACTCTACAACCAAAAAATTATCCCTTGCCAGGGTAATTTTTTGATATTGATGCCCTGAGCTGGGACGCACTTGATGTCCGGCGCACGAAGCAAAACCAAATGTCTATCAACTCTCTTTGAAGAGCTCTAGCAACCAACAACCACCCAGGATCCAGCCTGGGCGAGACTAATTTTGAGGATAGCTTCAAGCCCTTGGCAAGGGGCTTGACGATCGAGGGCCTGGAGAAAATCTGAGCTCGTCTTGCTTCACGACACGCGCAAGAAACAACCAGGCTTTGGAAATCTAAACAACATCTTGCTTCTCAACCAGTTTTGGAAGGCCCCGGCCTGAAAGAAAAGTTAGTCTGACCCCGAAGAACTCGAGGACGAGCTTGAGGACGACGAGGATGAAGTTGAATCTGAATCTGATCGTTCACTTTCCTGCTTCTCTTTCTGCCTACTGGAACTTTTAGCTTTGGCTTTGCTGGCACTCTTGTTTTTTGCTTTCGGTTTGGCTTTCGGTTTCGAACTTTCTTTTTTGGTCTTGGCTTTTGCAGGCTTCTTGTCAAGTTTCTTTGGCTTTGGTTTTTCAATGGCTCTCTCTAGCTCCTCTGCATCAAGTTGTTCATCCGTCTTCACGGAAGACGGTGCCTCCCCTGTGAGCTCTTGCCCTTGCACTATCACCTCTGCAGGCAAATCCTCAGGACTCAAAGGCATCCGAAGGTGATCTCTTTGTCTATTAAATCGTGGTGCGCTATTACACCAATGCTTCAGCAAAAGAATCGTGGTCTTGCGAGACTCGGCCGAACTGTCTGCAAAGCGCAAGAATCGCTTACAGCCAGTGACCTCGCTTTTCTTATGGTATCGGCAAGATGCTTCAACCCCTCCGAAAGGTGGAGAAGAGTGAGGCTGCTTCACAGAAAAACTGAAATGACCATACTTGGCCACACGAGCAACTTGCAAAGCATCTTCAACCAGCACGGTTTCCTTGGAACTAGTAGCTAAAGCACTTGAACTTGAGCTGGCCACAGGAGGAGGGTGGGGGGGTGCAAGGGCTTGGATTTGCTCTTCTGCTTCAACCCCCTCCAATATATGGTCATGAGTGGGACACACAGGCGGCGGCGGCAAAGCATTGTCAGCCACAGTTGCAATGTCCCCAACTCCACTCTCACTATCACTCTGCTCGCAAACTTCAGGCGAGGGTGGTTCTGGAGAAAGAACAGCAACCTCTGGGGCACTTGCCCCTGCTTGCTCTTCAAGTTCAACATCGGCAACCAAAGTGTCCGAGGGTTGCCTTTTGCGTTTGTTTTGCGCACATGTCCGAACAGCTTCGGAGGGAAGAGCGCCGCCAAAAATCAACTCATAAGCTTCACTGGGCAACCCATGCGGAAGTTCACACACACCGTTGCGCTTCAATCTCTCAGCATCAAGCAAGCACATCATGTACCAACGGGAGACAGTCACTCCAGCAGTGAACCAAACACGCTCCTGTCCAACAACAAAAGCCAACTCTCGCTGCTTTTTTGCTGGCTTGAGTGACCAACGCCAACCTTCAGAACGCATTCGCATGAGCAGCTGCAACTCTGACATGTCAGCCAGAGACAAGCCCTCTGATGAAGCAAGGCAATGAGGCGATGACAGCGACCTCAAAAAATCCATGCGCCTTAGCGCAACTACAGTCAGGCCGTAGCCACCACCTCTCTCAACAACAAAGCCATGAGTATCG